TTGTGCTGCATACCTAAAATGATACTGTATTATTTCTCTGACTTTTCAGAGCAGTAATTGAAAAGTTTTATTCTCTTTGTGATGATGAACTTAAGTACTTGAATGACAAAAGTATCCTGAAGAAATCACCTTGTTACGTATTACATTATATTAAGTGCATTTAATATTTGGGCAGTAAGTGATGATATTAAGGAAAATTGGTAAGGATTCTTTAATATGGTTGGAATCTATATTAGAACTTTTTTGTTTTGGTAATAGTCATACTGCTGCTTATTATGAATTATGTATTAGATTACATTTGTATCAGATTGGTCACTATAATGTGTGTGTTTGCTAAATTAACAGCAAAAACCTCTTTAAACTCTGAAAATTTAAAAGAAAGGTTTCACTAGAAAAATTACATATATATTTATTATATATATATATATATGTATATATATATATATATATGTGCGTGTGTCTATTACTCTCCCAGTCCAGTGCATGGAAGAATTTTCTAAGCAGTTGTGGTACTGTTGAATTATCTTTTAATTTATTGTTATATGCAGTCTATTTAGATTTCCAATTATATACCTAGAAAAATTATTTAAAATGTCATTTGCAACTCTTTTAAGATGGGAACTAAAGCAATTTTGATATGATTCATAGTCTATTCTATAAAGAGAAAGATTTCATTTATGATAGCATTTATAATGTTTCTGCTGGAAATCAGAGGCATGTTACAAAAGGAAGGTGTATATAGAAGTACTTTTAAGTAGTATAATACTTTGTAAATTATATATCATGAAACTAAGCTTTTGGCAAAGATACTTAAAACCTACAGCTATAAAAATCCAGGTTTAAATGGTGTCCATAATGCTAACTTCATCTGCCAATCCTGTTTTATACTGTTAAGTAGGTTGTATCTGTGCCATTTTTATTATGGTGGATGTTATGTAGTTACATATAAAGTTTCTTTTGCATTATGCGTATTCAAAAACAGGGTAGTTATATTAGATATTGCCAAATTGATGATGAATTTATCAGATAAAAACTGTTTTGTGGTGCCAATGGTTCTAAGCATCAGGTGACAGGGTATTCTGCTCTTTCTATTCAATTGAACTTGATAATGCAGCATAATTTATAAACTAACCAGCTGTGCCTGCTTTTGAGGACCCCATAGTCAATATAATAAATCTCTGAGCCAAATCTTCCAAAAAGACTTTTTTCCTTATAGAAAGAAAAATAATATATATGTGTGTATGCACATGCAGGCACACATTGAATGACCTATCAAGGGAGATTTAAAATGTTTTGCCAATAAAACAAATGTTTTATCTCTAGGAATAGAATATGACATATGTTAACCATTTAAATATAAACTTATATTTAGTTTCTTGGATATGTTACTTGGCTAGTAATTTGTTTATATTTGAATGCAAAGACATTTAACTAAATTTAGGCCTGGTGGTGAGTTTATTAGATCAAAACTGAACAAGAGTTTTGTTTTTAAAATTTGTTAAAAATATTACCACTCAGACTGTCTTAAAATAAAACATAAAAAGGGCTGGAGATGTAGCTCAGTGGTAAAGTACTCCTGGGTTAAGTCCAAAAGAAAAAAGACCAAAAAAAAAAAATGTGAAAAAAATAGGACCACTCTTTTCAAGTGTATCATTTAAAATGCTCCAATATCTATTTCCATTAATTTTCACTCTCCCTTGTGAAAAAAAAAATTTAATTTGCTTTTGTAAGATTCATTATATTTACATCCCAGAGAAACTGTGCCAAATGAAATTCAATGAAATAAAAATGTGTTTTAAGGGAATGTATACAACATTAGCACATATATCAAGAAGATACTTTTGAAAGAGTTCATTTTATTAAATTTGAATTAAATATGGTCTTTTATTTTGTCTGAATTTAAATTTCTACTAGTTAATCTATGCAATCATGCTTACTTATTTTGTAAGTATTTGACTCACTGACCAGTTTTATTCTGAAAGGTTATTCTAACTTTTAGTGTCCTTAATTTCAATCTCATTTGTTCAATTATTGGTAGTACCAGAACAAGAAAGAAAGCGGGGGGAAAAGGAATAAAATCTGCTGGCACAGAAATAAACATGTAATTTAGTAACTGTAAAACCTGTCTGCAGTTAAAGCTTGATTTACTGGGTAAAAGAAGAATTTATTATCTTTGCCTTTGTATTTTTTT